TCTGAACTCATTAAAAAAAACCTTCCACATACATTTATCAAAAACTTCATTTTAAATAAAGGTTATTTTAGACCTAAGAAAACAACCATAATGAAGAGTAACAGAAAGCAACCAAGAAGGAGCAATCAGGACATAGTTTTAACCTCACAAGTATGCATTTTTAATGAACAGATTTGCCAAGTAAATATCTATACTCATCCTTTAGTATAACTTAATTATGAATATAGGCATACCTAGAACTGTGCATTATATATAGCAATCTCCCCGAGTGAACCAATAAATGGATGAATAAACTTAAATGCATATTTTCTTCCTAATTCTGGTACATATCTACATTGCTGAAAATGGAAAGTAGCAGATATAAACTGATTTAATGATATATGGAGTCTACAGGGTGAGATTCAAATTGTTCTATTGCATTTGCTTTATCCCACCTTAGGAAAGTAATGCTACCAGAATACTGCAGTAAAGAAGAGGAAGAAAATTTCTGTACCCAACACAATTTGTGAGTGGGAATCTTTTCTTAGAGTGGAATGTATCATACTTACATTTTTTGTTTCTCTAATTCTATAGGCGATTGTAGAGGAAATGTGTTTGGAGTTAAGCCATTGGTATTATGACACTGACTGATATAGATTATTTCTAAGCAGTTCTCTGACTTTATGCTTTAATAGTTTGTAAAAATACATATAATGTTATCAACTGTATGAAGAACCAGAATTACTAACAAAAGAATTGTGTATGAATTCAACATAATCTGTCAAAGACAAATTTATTGAAGGCTCCCGGAAAAATGACTTTGTTTTTAAGTAGATAAACGTTTTTTTCTTGTAAGGGAAAAAGGAAGTTTTGATGACAAATAAATGATGTGTTAACAAGCAATTACACAAACATGGATAGACAATGGACCTTTCCCATTAAGAAAGCAGTCATTTTAATCTGACATAGTACATACATTGTAATGAATTTAATATCTCTAATTATTACGTGTAAGGGAAAAGGCAAAAGAGAGGGAAAGAGGACAACCATATTTATTTTCATTAAAACCCATGATTTTTTTTGCAAAAATGTATTTTCATTCACTAAAAAAATTAGAGGTAATATTTTATTCTTACAACCTCTCACAGAGTCCATCAATTAAAAGCTATTGACTTTCTATTGGCTTTATGGACATAAAGTTGGTTTCCATACAGTTTGAAAAAGATGGGCTTTGCTTTCTTAATTAAACTTTTACAATTGAATGACTTTACAATTCTACTGAGCAGTTAGTATCACTGTAATTTGTTTGACATGATTTAATCTATAGGCTATATTCTACAAGCAATATATCAATTATATATGTGAAATCATGCAAAACATTTCCATATTAGCCATATTTTAAAAAGCAAGAAAAATAAAGTGACAAAATCATATTTCACTTTGTGCTCAGAGTTCATCAGTTCTGTCTCTGTAGGTGGCTATATCCTACATGTTAGAGATGTTCTGAGTCATAAGTAAAACTCAAATTCTAGATGTAGTTACAAAATAAATGACAGAATGTAATGAAACTTGAATTTGTTTACATTGTAAGGGTTTTTTTTTTACAATTCTGAAAATGATATGTGAGCTATAGAGACATAAAATTCAAATTATATAATTTTCCTTAAATGATCTAAAGACTTTAAAATCAATCAGTTAAAATAGTTTAAGACTGGTAAAATGTATATACATTTTTTTAAAAAAAGTGATTAGAATAGGCTTAGGAAAAATTTCAACACTACTTTTTTTTGGCAAATGGTTTCAGTGATACTCTCTTGAAATAATTTCCACCTTAAACCATATAATCACACTTCAAATACCACAAACACCACAGGTGGCAGCATTTTTGAAAGGGACAAAATATACATTATATTTTACTACAGAAATAACCATAAAAAGATACCATTTACAAGGCTCAGTAGTCCGTTTTATTGGCCAAAAAAGTATATTAGAGTACATCTTGATATATTTTAGTTTGTATGTGAAACTTTTAAATGTTTACATTTCAAAAAAAGGAATGGTTGGACTATATGTAAATGGAGCCAAATTCCTAGAAGTTTAAAAATATGTTTATTAAGTCATTAAAATTTAGTAAAAGGTCATGATATTCCAGATATTAAAAAAGTTTAAAACCAATCACTTTCTTATCCAGTGGGTGATATACACATACTAATACATCCATGATTTCTTTGAAGAAATTAAAATACATTTATACTACTTCAGCTCTCTGTAAATACAGTATCTAAGTTAAAATACATGTTTTCATACAAAGTGGTTAACTTAGGGGGAAAAGTATATCAAATGTTATAAGATCATTTACTATAGTCTTCCTGATTTCAATTCTTTTAAAACTCTTGTGGTAGAATATAAGACTTGCGCCATTCCTGGAAGTATAACTTAGGAAATACAAGTTCTAGCAAGAGTAGATCTGTGGTTCCCATAAAGATATTTCATCATAACTAAGAGAAATTTTACATTTATTTCTGCTTACAGAGGCATGACATATGCATTTTTTTTTGCTAGTCTCATAATATGAATCCTATACATTTGGGGTAGGCTGTTAAATCTAATATATCATAGAGTAGTTATCTCTTTATTACTCCATTTTAAAAATGAGGATGAAATTTCAACTCTTTTTTTATTATAAATCCTATAGATGAATGGGGGAAGGGAATACACATTTATATAGTGCCTACTACATGTCAGGAGCTGTACTAAGTGCCTTATAAATATCTCATTCAGTCAGCTATGCCTTTAAAACCTTGATAAATGCATAATCAAAAAAAAAGTCAGCATAAGCCAGTCAACTCTTATTAAAAAGTGAAGGATGACTTGAAGAATCTTTAAGTTAAGCTAAAAGCTGTAAGTAAATTGAAAAATTACAAACAAATAATATTTTATATAGATCTCTTATTTGTCATATGCTCCTAACAGCCTGCTAGGAATTAATGAGATGTAACTTTGAAGTCAGCAAATTTAGCAAACTTCAACAATAACATGTCTTTTTTTTTAGAAGGCAAATTGCTAATGATTGTAAGAAGTAAGAATATGCTTTTAAGGAACAAACATGCCAAGTGTATAATTTCCCAAAAAGAGTCAGTAGAACTGAAACACTGACAACAGCCTTATTTCAGGCAGTTAGTATATATCTTCATTGCATGGCTGAAAGAGTGGGATGGGTAGAGTTTACTTTTCCCTTTTCAATAAATCAGGCCATTGCTATTGACATATAGGTATTATTTGAACTAGGAAAGAGAGAATATTAGGTTAAAATGATAAATAACATGAATAGAAAATAAACTCAAATACCTATAATTTAACTGAATTCACTTGTGTTCTCAAAAGGGAACATGTCTTTGGATGACATTCTTACATATCCTGATAAAATAGAGCTTAAGTTCCTTTCTCTGGTAAATATAGATTAAATTCAAAAAATGAATAGAGAAATACTATAGGGACATTTTACTATGTTTAGAGCAGAATGATATTGGGGATGGACAAACTGGGTCCAAAGACCACCTCTGACATACACTGGTTTAGTAACCCTAGCTAGACAAGTCATTTAACTTCTTAATGTTCCAGGCAAACTCTCAAAGACTTCAAATTGAAGACTTTAAATTGAAAAATAGTTTGCTTTTCTTTGTTAGAGAGTTTCCTCATCAGGAACTCCTTACACAGAAGGTCACGGTATTTACTACTTACTATCTGTCTCCCTCTAAATATGTGTGTGTGTGTGCATGTATATGTGTGTACATATACATATATGCATGTATATTACAACATTCTACCCTGGTTTTCACTTCCTACACCAGGCATCTATGTGAATAGTACCACAGAGAAATTGGATTGCTGGTGAGCTCAGGAATTATCAGTATTTATTTCCTGATGTCCAACCACAGCTTTCTTTCTTTTTTTTTTCCACCTTACCTCCATCTTTTTTTTGGTTGGCTTCCCCCTTTCTGCTTATATACTCTCTCACATCTATTCCTCCTCCCTATCCCCCCCCCAAAAAAAAAAAGTGAAACTTCAGCGTATCTCCAGTAATTTCTGCTGGAAGTTTTCAGTCGCCAAGACATGTTCTGATCACCAGTTAGAAGCTTTACTTTTCCTTACTCCCACTTTCCAGCACTAAGGTTAACACATCATCCCACCCAATCCTGAGTGCTGTTTCTACCAGGACTCTGATAGGTGGGAGTAAGGCGAGGAGAACCTACCAGTGATTGCCCAGGTTCTTTGCTTGTCTAACATGTTTTCTATTAGCTCTGGATCTGATATAGATAATGCTGTGCCTTCACACTTACTTTCAACCTCATTAGAATTGTTAATTGAGGGTTGACTGACTATACTTGGCTCTGATTTTACTTCATGAAACGACAGGGGGTGGGGGGTGGGAAGGTGGAAAGGTTGTACAATGCCTCACTTAGAGAACTTTGGGTGACATTACTGTAACCATCCTGCCAAAAAAGGACTTCAGAGACTCACTCAGTATCCCGTCTCCTCAGCCACACTGGCCAAACAGCTCACCATCCTCATCGATGGCACCCACACCCTTCCTTATTCACCTTCAACTCTCAGTATTGAATGACATTCTGAAAGCTTCGTTCCTCCTAGCACGCCAAAACCACCACCATGTCTCTTTCCACATAAGTTCCGCACTACACAATTTACTTAGATTCATCGGAGAAATTTTGGATGATCCCCAGGGCCAGAGAGTGATGGAGAGGGACTCGAACGCTTTAAGTGGAAAAAGTCTCACCATCAAAGGCGCGGATTGTAGAGCACCACCCCCCCCCCCGTTCTTGAGCGCGTCTCTTTTGAGCTCTCCGCTTCACTACCACCCCCATAAAACAAAAACACAGAGAAGCAGACCTTGTCAGCGGAACCTTGTAATATCAAAGCCTCCTCAATATGCCTCCCCCAAACCCCTTCACAGTGCCCTAGGCAGAGGATTACTGAGTCGAGCAGAAAACAGAGGCAATTACCAGAGTTTTGTTCCCGTTCTTGCTGAGGGGACCTCGGAAAACTCCCTTGATGTTGCGAAAGTGCCCATTGCTGAGATGCGTGGAGCTGATGACAATGTAGTAACACTCCATGGAGCAGCCGCCGCCTCCTCCACCACCGCAGCCGCTGCTTCCATGCACCTCCGCGCCCGCAGCAGCAGCTCACACACACGGAACTGGATGAAGGTGGCAGTGGGCACCAAGTGCAGCCAAAACACACTGGACACACACACACATATACACAATCCCTGCTCCTGGAAGGAAGGGCTGACACTCTGACACTCAACTCCTCTTTCCCCAGCTCTGCTGAGCGAGGTTAGATGCCCCCTCCCCCTCCTCCTTTTTTTTTCTCTTTCTTTTTGTTTCCTTTTTGAATTTTCTTTGAGGAATGACTGGAAGAGGAGGAGGGAGGGGAATCCAAGATTGGGAGGAGAGGCTGTGGTAAGGGGCGCACAAGGGTTGCTGAGGAAGGTTGCTGGACTCAGCCTCAGCTTGTGTCTCAGTGCAGCACAGACGGAAGGGAGAGGAGCAGCCTGAGCTGTGGCAGCGAGAGCAGCAGCAGCAGCAGCAGCATCTCCTCGGCTTTGCGGAAGGAGTCTGAGTTGCTGCCTCTCGCAGGCATTAGTGTTATTATAGTGTGCGGCGTTGCCGGTCCATTGCACTGAGCCAATGGCAGGAAGCCACTGGGCTGATACCGAGAGCTGTCAGAGGAGTACATCTGTCACACGCTGCCTTCACCACCACCCCCAGCTCTCTAGCTCTCCTCCCTCCTCCTCCTCAGTACACACTGCTGGCTCAGCCCTGCCAGCCTGCCTGCCTGCCACACTCAAGTGAAGATTAGGGGGGAGCAGTGTACAGAAGCCGTGGCAGCCACCTCCCCGCAGCAACCGCTGCAGCCTCTTTGGGATATACAACAAGAACAGCACCTGCCCTGAACAGGACAATGGACAAGGTGAATGTGCAGGCTGGCAAGCTGGAGTTTAAGGGTAGAAGGAAAGAGAAAACGCCGAACTGGGAAGAAAGTGAGAAACGCGGAGAAGGAGGATGGTGAAAAGAAGGGATGAAGCTTTTCTTTTCTCTTTTCGAGGGTTATTTATAAGATGAATGAAATAAAATAACAACTTCCTCTCCCTAAAACCCAAAGGTTTGCCACTTCACTATCTCCTTCCCCCCCCCCAGCAATCATCAAAACCGAACATGTGACAGCAGCTGCTTTTCTCACAAAACTGTAGCTGCCCATTGGTCTTGCTTAATGGTTATTTATTCATTTATTCACTGGATTGGGGAGGGAGGAGAACTAAAAAGCGACTTGAGCTCCAGAAGTAGGGAAATTATAAGAAAATGGTCCTTTCATTGATTTTTTTCTATAACAAGAGTTGAACCATCTCGAATGTTATTTAAGGGAATGGGGCTTGAAATTGGGAGGAGGTGTTCTATAGGAACCAAAGGTGTGTAACACCTTTCTTTATTCCACCATTCCCTTAGTCCACATCCCAAAATACCTTTCTCCGCTTTACGGTTCTCAGCAATCGCAGTAAGCCTGGATAATAGTAGCAGCTGCTATTGAGTCCCTTTCCATTTCTCTTTCGTTGTTAACCTGCTGCAATAAGTAGCGATGAACAATGACATTCACCCTAGATAGGACAAGGATACAAAATCTTTGTAAATATATTGAAGGGTTTGACAGGGAAAGGATAAGGCTTTGCTGTGTTCCCTTAAGGCAATCAGACATTCCTTGAGAAGCAAAAAACTTGCCGCCCTTAGCTTGTGTCTTCCATTCTGTTCTCCTAATGCCAGTTTATTCCCTCTTTGTGTAAGTTTAGCTCTTCTGAAGTGGTTTAGTAAGAGCATCCCATCAGGTATATACATGGCTCATTAGTAGGCACTTAAAGAGATCGATAACAGGCAGTAGAAAGCCTGAAAATGGTGGGTTCAATGGATTTACTGAAGGCTTTATCTTCCTCTTGCTCAGGATGGCTTAATTGGTTAAAACAGAATTCAGACTGCCCGAGTAAATGCAACTCAGAGCAAAATGCAGTCTGAAACACTCTATATTATTTCTCCCCTCTTGCTTTGCTAATTTCCATCACATTTGCACCATACTTCACTATTTCTCCCCTAAAAACGTAGGTCATTATGGTATTGCCCTACAGCCATGAGCAGACCTTCAAATAAATCCCTCAATCTGATTTCACTACTAGCTTTGGGAGAAAAGAGGATGGTTAGAGGATTTGAGAAATGAGTTCTCTGATACTGTGGAAGTAAAGCACTCCCAGGATGCTTCTTTGTAGCAAGCATAGGTAACACAAAAGAAATACATCGAAATAGGAATTATCAATTGTTAACGTTTGTATACAGACAAATAAAAAGTCGATATCTATTGATCAAAGTTCATTATTAAATGTCATTTACTTTAAAGGCACTTTTCTTGTAGTTCACAGCTATCCACTTGGGGGAGTCTGTAAGTCTTTAAAGAAAGCCTGTGTTTACAAAACTTCTATCTGCTATGAAATAGAGGTTTTGTTAGAATTAAGTTAGAATGATTTGATATTTTTTAAAACAATAGGGTTCACTTCTGCTCAGTTAAGTGTAAACATTTAAACTCAGATTAGTACTTTGCCATCAACTGTTTTAATTTTTAATCCATAGATATCCTTGGGATGCCATTGCTTTGTAACAAGTAACCTCTTCAATATAATGTGGCTCCTTTTACATATTGAGTACTTTGGAGACCAGCTCTTAAATGAAAAGGAACAGTCTTTGTGAGTCAGTGGGCCTCAGAAATGTAGACACTAAAGAAGGAAACTTAATATAAGAGTACAAAATATTGAGTCTGCACAACTCCCATGATACTCTGTGGCTTGCAGCCTCATTTGTAATCTTTCAATTTTCTCATAGATTTTTTTGTTCTCTAAGTTGGAATGTGCAGCTTAAGGTCCATTCCTGGAAACAGGAAGTGCCAAAGTTAAATGAATTAGTTCAAAGAACCAAATATCATCTATCATGTAATGCTTCACTGTCAGAATTTGCTTCTAGTGACAAAGCCTATCCATCCAAACTATTTTTTATACTTCCATCATAAAGCACTATAGAGAAACCCCCTTTAGCAATTTCTGACAGGTGTCATTTTGCTATCATAATTTTTTATCTTGGCCATTAATATCCTTTTTTACATTAGAGAACCTGTGTATGTTCACATGCCTCTGTGTGTGATGCGTGATTTTTGGATGTCAGAATACACTACCTTTTCTATATTCAATTCTTATTCTAAAATGTAGCAAATTCATTCAATTTCCTACAGTTGCAGAAATGATGAAATGAGTAGAAACAAAAAAAATAGAAAAGATATGTCACTTTTATTACATAAGTAAAGTAGAATGACATATCCAATGGTGGAAGCATGAATAAGTCCCAAGGTTACTTCCAGTGCAGAAAAACTTCTTTGAAATGATTAAATCCTGAGTGTCATTATATACATGTTTTATATATGCAGACCCTGGATGTCCATGAATGCATGCCAATATCAAGGATTATCAGTTTAGAATTAGGTATGGGAATGAGTCTAAAGAGGATGTTTTTGCTTAGTTTTTTTTTTCCTTTGATGGACTATACCTCTAAGTCCTAGATAACAAGTTCTTATATACCTGTTACTATCAGTGACAGGTTGTGCTGTCTTACCACTTATCAGAATTTTTATAGACCTGTGCATCAAGGGGATGAGATAAACTGTGGAGTCAGAAGGGATATTATTAGGGATCTGCTCCACCCTGGCTAGTGGAAATGACTCACTACCATAACTGTCAAATATGTAAATATCATTGACTTGAGTTACAGTTCTCCTAGGTTCTGAAAATGCAGCCCTTAAAGGAAAATTCCCTTTCCCTGTCGATGATTTGGGGATTATAGAAGAGTACAAAAATAGACTTGAACTTTGATGTATTATTGTGGATTACAGTAGGACATTTCATTTTTTTATTTACTAGATAATTATAGAACACATATGTTCAATTGCCAACTGTCCAGCTAGAATAATTTTCTCAATTATATTTTTGAAAAGAGAAAATGTGCTAATTGCATGGCATTAATCACAATATGATATTGCAATTAATTTGTGCCAGCACTATGCTTTAGATTTTCTGTGGCCTATCATTTAAAGATTCTTCTTCCCCTTCTATGAGGGTATTCAAATTGAACTTTTTCAGTACTTTATATCTTGGAAGAAATGTACTTGTTATTCCCTGGGTATTCAATTAAATTCAACAAACCTTTATTCCTAATCCTAGTGATACAAAAATAAAAACAAAGTACACTCTACCATTTGGGAAGTTTTAAAGTGGGAAGGCAATGAATAAATATATGTAATAGTAGGTAGACTGTATAAAGGGTAAAGGAAGTATCAATTCGTAGACCAAGTTTAATAAGCAATATAAAGGAAGGAGTTCACTTTAGCTGGTATAGAAGAAGCACAGCGTGGGACTTTTGGGGAGGGGGGAAGTACATTCTCAACCTCCAGAGCTGTTGGGGAGAAAATATTGAATATAGGTGATGGTCTGTGTAAGTGATCAAATTTGATAAGGCTTGGATATATTGTTTGGAACCAGATTGAGAAGGAGGGCCTTGAATAATAGATTTATGTCAGGGGTAGCATGAAGAGACATTTCATTAATAAGATTATTTTGATAGTATATAAAAGATGTACCATTAAGAAAATAGCTTAGAGGCAACTGACAATAGTCAAATCAGTTGATAGAGAATTTATCAGGAATTGATGATGTTACAAGTAAATACTGGAGATAGAAAAAAATGAAACAATCTCTGCTTTTAAGGAGCTTGTATTCTATCAAAGACGATGGTATGTATACAATAAATAAGAACACATATTCTACCAGCCATTGTTGGGAGTCAAGAATGCATACCATGGTAATGAAATTGAAGTAAAAACCAAAATTAAATTTCAGAACTAATACTAATCATATCAATATATTAGAAGATAAAGAACCAGTTTTTTGAAAGTAAAAAATAATAATAAAAACATTATTTTAAGTGGGAAACAGGAATAAAAATGTATATTTCATGATGTTATCATTATAATAAAGTCAGCATTTTCATGTAAGATTTAATAGCAATTGTTCCAAGTTTCTATGTATTTCAAGTTACATACAATTCAGCAAGTCTTTCAAAAAGCATTTAACAAATGCCTAATATGTGCCAGGTAATGTATTAAGTGCTGGGTTGTTGTTCTTCAGTCTTATCTCACACTTTCTGACCCCATTTGGAGTTTTCTTGGCAAAGAAACTAGAGGATTTGTTATTTACTTCTCCAGCTTCTTTTGCAGATGAGGAAACTGAGACAAAATCATTAAATGACTTGCCCAGGGTCATGCAGCTAGTAAGCATCTGAGGCCAGATTTGAACTCAGATCTCCCTGACTCCAGGCCTGGCCCTCTACCCACTGTGCCACCTAGCTGCCCATGTGCTGGGGATACTAAGACAATTATCAATCGTTCCTTGCCCTCGGGGAAGCTAGGTGGCACAGTGGATAGAACACTGGCCCTGGAGTCAGGAGGACCTGAGTTCAAATCCAGCCTCAGACCAAACACTTGACACTTACTAGCTGTGTGAACCTGGACAAGTACTTAACCCCAACTGCCTAAAAATCAAAAATAAATAAATAAAAAAGTCATTCCTTTCCCTCAAGAACCATGTATTCTACTGAGAGAGAAAACAAGCTCACAGA